GGACCTCTGAGCCTTCCTGTTCTGATCTGTTTGCCTGACCTGTCTTTGGACTCCTGGACCTCTGAGCCTTCCTGTTCTGATCTGTTTGCCTGACCTGTCTTTGGACTCCTGCATGTTCTGCGAGGCTGCAGCATCTTGGACACACCGCATCTTGTTGGCAGCCCACTGACTGGAATGAACCTTGTTCTATTCTGTCTTGTTGTGTTTTAAATAAACACTTTTTGATTAATCCCACTGTCTGTCAGGCCTTAAATACTGGGTCCTTTCTTCTGAACCCTGACAGTTACCTTGTTGGATATATGAATAATATTTGAAAATGGAATAACAAAAAGCTAAATGTTTCTCTCTAAGAGCCTGACAGCAGCTCATAAATAAAGATTGCTCTTGTGTCCCTGAATCGACCCGACATTTTTTTGAGCTTCAATTGATTTTCAGCCCTCTCCATGTCTCTCACCACATTCCCCTCCTTCATCTCATCTCTCTCAGCTCTGGGCTCGACAACATCACAAGCTTGTTTCTGTGAAGCTGTTTGAAGTTTGGTGCTAATTGGTGGATTTTCACTGACATTAAATCCTGTCTCCGAGCCCAGCGAGGGCGGCGTTGCTTTGTGTTTATAGGGATGGTGAGGTGATGAGGAAACAGCACATTATGTAAGCTCTGCACTTTGACTCATCATGTTTAGATGGAGGTCTGTTGTTATTTGGAGGAAACAAGAATACTGGCTCTGTTTGGGTTTTTGTGCTTATCTTCCTCTTTTACTTGACACTTATGATTTTCTAATCCAGTGTATTGAAAGTCCTCATCCACAAATACTCCTTTTATGTATTGATTGATAATTAATCAGCCTTGGTAGGGAATGGATGGGTAAAGAAGCTTAATTCGTTTTTGATTTAATTTTACAGCTTTGCATCTGGTTTATTCATTCCCTGTTGGAACTAATGCACCTTGATCATCTTTTATGCACTCATTTTACAATAAACTAAACATTTTAACATATAAATGCACCATAATTTTTGTAGGGTGCTAAAGTGGATTCAATCTATACACACACCAAAACTAAGATGTGGTATAATTCTATTTATTATCCTATGTTGAAATAGCAGCAACCTGAATGACTAATGACATGTAGTAATTGTGCAAGTCTCACCTCTCTCTAAATTCTAAGTCGTTATGTTTTAACAACCTCTGACTTAGAGACTTGGACAAACTTTATCGTCTGAAATTTCGTTGCGTACAGCTTGCAGCTTTTTTTTTTCTCATGAACGCCTTGTTTAGCCCTAAAGTTTCTTTAAGCTTACACTACACATGGATTGGGAGGCAAGTTAAAATATGTACAGTATTCTGCAGTTAACCTCAATATGCATATTATTTACTTCTGTTTTTTCTAAAATAAAGTTTTCCCACCTCTTTAAGTATTTGCAATTCAGCAAAGGTGTCAAGTAACAAAGTACAAATACCTCCTTACCTTACTTAAGTAGAAATGTTGGCTATCTTTACTTTACTGGAGTAATTATTTTTTTAGACAACTTTTTACTCCTTATAATTATTTGTAATTATCTCTACTTTCTACTCCTTACATGTTAAAAATAGACCTATTAGTTTTGTTTCATATAATTTAATTTTCGTTATGGTGTGTTGGTATCTAAAAAAAATAAAATAAAAACCATCAAAATAACTAGTTTCATCCAGACAATTAATTTCTTTAGTTGGACTCTGTATTGCACCAACTTGTTGTTCACTACATACCAAATTACTTAGTTTTCCAAGATGATGCAAAGCAAATTTGACACTGACACATGACAGATTAGTTATAAAACTAAGACAATTAAGTATAAGGAAGTTATCATCCAGAATTGTAGAAAAATTTCCCTTTAATGCAGTAGTGCAGTAAAGCATCTGTCCTTAAAGTTTTTTCCTGTATTATTTCTACGTTCATACGTTTTAAAAATGGTACTTTTAAACTTTTACTTGAGTAAGAAACTTAAGTTGATACTCTCATTTCCACAAAGGTGTTTTTAAACAGTAGGATTTCTACTTCTACTTGAGGAATAACCGTTAATAATTTTGACACCTCTGCAATCCAGCAGCTGCTTCAGTGGTCTGGCTGTTGACTCCATACTCATGTTATAGACATAGCCAATGGCAAGAAGTGTGTTTTAGCCTCATCCCTGAAATTGTGGTTGTTTATTTTGCTTAAAGTTTAAAGGATTCCAGATGTTTTCTTATCATGAATAAATAGAGCTAACAAGATAAAAGTTCACCAATATGTCTAGATCCTTTTACTGGGTCCCCCATTAAGCTCTTGCAGATCCATTTGACATGTTTCAGTTAAATGCCTTATTTTCTTGAGCAAATTAGAGTGAGATCATTAGAAACGGTGCACTTACATAAGGTTCATCTTCATCCACATATGGTAATACCTTCCTGGTTTGGTTTTCATTACTCAAAAGGCTCCTTAAGTTTCAGAAAAACATGCTTTAATGTATTCACCCACTTTGAAAGTCAATAGAAAATCAGATTTAGATTTGATTCTAGTTTATATGTCTTAGCTCTGAAAAAAAAAAGGCTCTACAATAAGGAGGATAAATGCATGTTAAACTTCTGGAGTTGTCTTCACAAAGAATCACACTCAGCCATGTAAAAAAAATTTAAAGAATCTATCAGGACGGGGGGAGCAGTCAAATCTCCACCCATGATAATTTGAGAAGCATGTGGTAAGGACACAGCTTTCTGAGGGGCAAATATTTGTACATTCAAGCTCAAATGCTCAAACACCGATAAGCATCAGTGTAACACAAGCCGCTGTTGTCACTTGAGGTAAAAATTTCTGCTCAGCTTCCATCTGGCTTACAAAAAAACGAGGGCAGGCTTTATAGCTTGTTCACATTTACACTAAAGGAATATTCCCATGGTTACATTTCACCGCCTCAGAGGGTTAACAGTGTTTTTACATTACTCACTGACTCAGGATTTATCCAGCTGATGCTGCAGAGTTTTCAGGGTTTCAAGTCCTACAATAAAACACCCAAATGGAAATGTCTGTTTTCTGGATGGTTCATTGAATTGAAAAATCAGTGTACACGGAAGTCAGTAGTTTGCATGATCCAGAAGTCATTCTCATGTATATGTAGCATCCTTTGTAATGCATAAATTCAAGAAAGCATAATAAATAGAGCAAATAGTGCAGAAATGACAGGAATCATCAATATTTAATGACTCATTTTCGGTTGATTTGATTGCATGTCCAAGTACAGAAACCTGCTTCTGCAAAGCTGTTGTTACTGTAGGTCATGGCGGACTTATTGGGAATAAAAAATAAATAAAAAGAGGGGTGAAACTGAGAAGTAAAGGAGATTTTAGGTGAAAGGGTGAAAATTGCTTAGAAAAAGATTTGAAGCTTTGGTTTGGAAAATGAAACAGAGTGGTGGTTTTGACGAGATGGCCTTTTAAAATGTAAATGACAACCCATGTGTCTCTTCCTCATCCGGTAATACTCTGCCACACTGAACAGCTGCCAGGGATCCTTATTACTCCACAAATGAGATTTACTGTAGGGTTGCCTCTGAAATCTGCTCGCTTCGTTTTCTTTTGGATACATTTTATTTATAGTTTATTGAAAGCTAAATCCATCGCCAACAATCCATTCAGGATGATGAATAAAACATCTTTTTTTGGGGGGGGCGCATTTGAATCCTTCTTCTCCTGTCCTGTCCAGAAAATGAGCCAGGAGTTTGAGATTAAACGTCTCTCCCTAGAAGAGCAGAGGGATCGTCTTCAGCAACAACTGGACAACCTGAAAGAGGAGCTAACGGCTAAAGTCAACATGGCCAATCAGGAGGTTTGAGGCTATCATCTGGGTTTGATACACTGGGTTGATTTTTCGACGCAGATGCTATAAGCTTCACTGTATGTTGGTTTCTCTGCAGGTGTCCCACCTGCAGGAGCTGGTGAGGGAGGGGGAGCAGAACCTGAATTCGGCTCAGACGCAGATAGGCTGTCTGAAGGAAACGCAGGAGAAGCTCCGGATAGAGCTGGATGCAACCAGAGGCAGAGTGCGAGAGACCAGCAACATGCTCACAGATCTACAGGTGTGTGACGCTTTACTGATCTGCTAAAACCAAATAAGTTAATCACGCCTTTCTGCCTATTACTGAAAACTCTCTCTTTTCAACATGATGATATACTGCTACATGGGTGCATTAGAAAAGGTTTTATATGTATATAATAGCATGTAGATTTTAAAGTCTGTATGATTCAGGTGTTATCTGTACTCGAGAAGTTTGACCTACTGAATAATTCATGATAATATGCAAAAATTGCATGTGTAAATGGTTTCATCTCAGAGGTCCGTCTATTTCACACTTTGATATCTGAAATTTGGAGTTCATAGAAGGAGGAATCCACCGGAACAATCCTATAAGATGGATTCTCCACCCAGAAAATCACAGCAATCTCTCCAATGCTGACCCCCTAGGATCTCAAATGGTATAAAAAAGCACCAGTGCTGGGTCTCAAGTCAATGCTGGCTCTTTTGCTCTGAAAACGTCTGATTCCGAGCTGATTTTTGAGAAAACTGTTTTTTTTTTTTTTTTTTTCTAAACTGGCCTATCAGCTGGTTCAGATAGTTAAATGTTTTTTTTTTATCATCTAGATAATGGAGCTAGAAGAGTCTCAGTATCCACAAATACACAATAAAAGACCCATGCATGCGCAGAAAAAAATCCACACACATGCAGGACAAGATCTAATCATGCACACCAAATTCACACGTGCATAAGGATTCAAACAAGCACACACACACACAGTTTAAGCATTGTGGATCTTGTCCTGTGCATGCATGGGTTTTGTGCTGATATTAAGACTCCTTTAGCTTCATACATTAGTTCATGATCTGACCTAGAGGCTTAATTTTAATTTTTTTTTTTACAAGATTGCTCTCTATTGAGGTCCACATCACTATTGTATTCCAGCCAAACCCTACCAATATAGAGACTTGCATCCTGTCTAAGCACACCTGGATCCTTAACTTCCTTTTTTCAGACTCTTCCCCTGATTCGATTCAGACATGTTGGCCCTCTTTCAATCATCGCATCAGTTCAGGGAGTTTGCAGATGATGGAGGAAGTTTCTGGAGTCGAGATACTGTAGGGGGATTGAAAAATGGAGAATGGGATGGCTGAAAAAACATTTGAAAAAGCAGAACAGGAGGAAATGAAAGAAACGAGTGGCGTGCTGAAGGCCAGCTGTGGGATAATGATGATGAAGCTATTATGAGATGAGTGGCCTTGCGTTTGAAAGGAGCCCTGCTGATATGAGCTCTTTGAGCATATATGTAGTGGGGAACACGCTGTTTAGGAAGGATGGACTATATTTCAATGATAATTGGGACCATCAATACCATCATGCAGTTTAGCTATATTATAATAATTTTGCTGCTGCCTGAATTTAAGTGAAAAAGGGAGATGCGACAGAGAAGTGAGCTGCAACCGAGAAAATGAAAAGGAAGATTGAATGAAAAGCAATAATTAGCTGAGATGGCAGTGGTCTGCTTTTTTTTCTCTTAACAGAGCCTGGTCTCTATAAAGAAAGGGATGTCTGTGTTTTGTAGGGGGGGCGGTGCTCTGAGCTCAATACAGGATTTTACCTTTTATTCTTTCGTGTCTCATTGCGCTTTAGACAAAAGCACAAAACCAGCTGAGACTGGATTTACTTTAAATTTAGAACAGGTCTTATTTTACCTGGACTAAGGCTCGGCGGTTTTACAGGACAGAATGAATACAGAACCAACAGAAATACTCAGAATGTTCCCAATTAATAATGTATAACAAATACATGAAATATTTTAAAAAGCAAATCCCACACAGAGATCCCAACACTTTGCTTTAAGATGACTAAAAGTATTGTCTGTTCTCATCAAGGAAATAATTGCTTTTCAAAATTCAAATGTGTTTTCACAACACAAAGAATTAAAAATTAGACACACTGTATATTAGCTATCAAACTGCAGTAGCTGAATGCATTTAGGGATGTGAATTAGGGCTGCATCATATGTGGAAAGCTGATTTTTTTCTAAAGATTTTTGTATCTCAGCCTCTGAGATTTTCTTCATGCTGTTCGCTCTAACTGGTCAAACATTGCTGCCATGCAGATGGTGAATGCATGACAAGTCTTTGTGTATTCAGGCAGTTTTTTTTTTTTAAACCAAACATAGCACAAAAAAAACACACTAGTATTTTGTCTTTCGTTTGTTGAGGCTACATTTTTGCACAAAAAAAAGGGAAAATCAGGCGTTTGCTGCACGACTAAAGAAGACATAATTCTCTTCAACCAGCTTCATTTTAACCCACCCCAGTTCAGTCCTCTAATGGCAACATAAACATTTTGCAAGCTATATGGGTGTAAAGAGTTGAGAGTTTGCATCCAATGAAAACAGTGGTAACAACAGTTGTCATGGAGATCAGGTTGAAATGGCTTACTTCCTGTTTCAGCCAAATTTCTTTAATTCTCATATAAAGCACATTTTATAAAGAGCTCTTGTGACTAAAAGCTTAATATATGTATTCAAAATATACATATATTAAAAAAATATAATAGAAAGTGAGCCTTTGAGCGCTCATAATTAGTTTTGTCTATTTTCAATTGCTCCAAAATATTCAGCAATCAGATATTGGTGTATTATCTATTTTTCTGGTTTGGGGTCAATAAACCAGTAATGAAAATTCTAGAGTGTTTTTTTTTTTTTTTTTTTTTTTTTTTTATTATTGTTGGTTTCGAACAGAAAAAAACCCAACCCCTAACACTTTTAGTATGACATCCAACCAAGCCGCCCTTTGCAATTTTGCAAATATTGGTATCAGTACGATCATTAAAGTTCATATATTGTGCATTTATCTGAAAATTTGTTGAGTTTGGGCGGAAGAAACAATTACTGTTTTTAAGGCTCATTGCTTTACTGGATTTTTTTCTTCTTATTGAGTTTTTTTTGTTTTTTTTTTTTTGCACCAAAAGCAAATTTTCTATAAATAAAAACAAACATCCGAGACTTGCTAGCTCTATTTAGGTGCAGCGAAATGTAAAATGTCATCCTTTCGTAATTAGTGCACCCAAGTAGTGAAGTGTGGATTTAGCCACTCAAGCGATGCTTCTCCTCGCAGCTAAACAGAAAAGCGTTTAAAGGACTTTTAATGAGCTCATCAGCACCTAAGCCCTGAATCCTCTTCAGCTGCTGGAAATGACTGACCTGATGAAGTTTGCCTTGAAACCAAGACATTAAAAACACCCTGAGGCTGCTGAAAATGCACAAAACAGCAAAAGGGTTGGAAGAATAAAGCTGGTTTGCTGAAATGATTCCCTCTCTCCTCCTATGTGCTCTCAGGAGGAGATTGAGACCCAGAAGCAGCAGCACGATGCCAGAGTGATGGCCATCAGAACAGAGGAGAAACAGAAGATGGACAAGATGGCGGATGACTTGGATCAGAAATGGAGAGATGCTCTGCGGTGAGGAAAAAAATTGTCTTCTAACTCATCCCTGTCAAACCCCCCTTCCACTCATGAGATGATATAAAACTGAAGTCTTTATCTAATAGTATTTAGTTTTACTTTTATACTCTCTCTCTTATTCTGTTATGTAACCACTTTTGCTGTAATGCTTCTGCTGCTGTAACACCACAATTTCCCCATTGTGGGACAATAAAGAGATTTTAGATTTTCTATTCTGTTTTATGATGTGATGTGTGTGAATCTCCTTAGGCAAGCTGGAGGATACAAACACACAATAATAATAATAATAATATGATAATAATACAGACACAGCTCAATAGATTATATGTCTCAAAATATAATTTATATCAGTAATTTAACTGAAACTAATAAAAAAACAGGTTTAACGTGTCCAGTTTATTTCTAAGGAAATCATCATTTAATATCCAGATTTATTGTACCAGTAAACACCAAGAAAAATGTATTTTTAACATAGGCCTATATTGTGAAGCAGGAATTCACAAACCTCCAAAAAATGGATAAGTGAATCAGTAATGGCTAAAGATTGCTGTATGCAAGCATACTATTTATAAAAGGTTGAATAAAAGAAAAAAAGGCATAGCAGTTGCTCAAATTAAGCCAAATTATATTTTTCACTGAAACTGAATTTTAAAATTCCCCCAGCTGAAAGATGTAATTTTCTAATTGCATTTAAATATGTCACAAGGTAAGGAATGTATTAAAATTTTCTTCAGGGAGGAAGTACGTTTGCTGAAGGAAGAGCTGAGTGAGGAGTATGAAGCCGACAAACAGGCAGCTCTCAACCAGCTTTCCCAGCAGAAGGAGCTGGAGCTGATGGCCGCAAGAGAGGGCTGGCAGAGGAAAGTGGAAGACCTGCTCGAACAGGTAAAACATGATGAAGGCGAACCCTCAGAATATATCGATGTAAAAAGTTCTGCGCTATGCCTGCATGACCATGATCCTTACACATCTGCAGGTCCTTCCCAGAGTACACTATACAGGCCAGTAGATGTTTAAGATGGGTTTTGTCTGATATCTGCTTACAATGGTCATGTAATGCAGCAAGTGACTCTACATGAATTATGGTTAGGTGGAGGGATGCCGGCGCATGTCTGGCGCCTGGGCCCGCTGGCTAGCATGCTGTACTTGGGCTGTGGGGTGGGCTGCCTGGGTTGCAGCCTGTTAATGGAGGACAATATGAGTGTGGAGGCAAGAGAGTTGCTGTGATTGACTGGTGGTGGGGCAGACCCTTTATGGGTTTGGCTTCCTCTTTCCTGTCTGTTCTCCTTCTCCTCCATTTTTATGCCGTCTCCCTTTCCATCTTCCGTGTCTGTTGTATATGATATTATTCCCAAAGTAATTTCCAATAAAGTTTCATATTTACGTACCAAGCGGAACCTTTTGGTCACCACCATGATGGCCTGCTTGTGAAAGCAAATCTGTTGGGCCATTATCTAGCTTTGGGACATCAGTTCCCAGAGCTATATTGGCAAAACATGGCGCACACAAAAAACAAAATTCATTTTCTTTATAATTTTTCCACCCGTTTCCACAAAAAAAAAAAAAAATTCTTTTTTTATTGAAAATTACAACTTATTCTACAACTAATCCATCAACCATCTTTTGTTGCATTAAATAAATCTCAAAAAAAGTAAAATTGAATTGGAGAAATCCAATTTTAAGGTTTCCTCATCCAAACATGGCTCAGAGGGACTGTTATACAGAAATAGGCCCACAGCATCACTCATCCTCAACTATACTTATAAGGAAGAATGAAGACGTTTTCAGTATAATTATTCTGTTCTATACCAAACCAGGCAGGTGTATTTCTTAAAAAGATCATCTAAACAAGTTCTATATTTTCCAGTTGAAGTTCTAGTAGAATTTGGTAAACTGAAGGTGTTTCTTTGTATGGTGATGGGATGGGGTATGCTTTTTTTTCTGTCATGCCTTTCCAGTCATCCTGTTGGCATTTAATTAGTCTCTAATGGTTACTTTTGTTGTCTCCCTTACTGTCCTTCTCATTGTCCATCATAGCAAGATAAACATGAATGATTAAAAATCAAAATGTTGATTTTTTTCCTACCAAATCCGATTAATCTTTTTTTTTTTTTTTTCTCACTCAAGTTAAATGATAAAATGACAAATTACATATATTGGGTTAAAAAACTAACTTTTATTTCAATTATCCTCTTTGGGAGGTGAGGTTAATTTGTAGGCCAACAAAATTTAACAAACGAAAAATGTTTATAAAATAATCAAATCACATGGAGAACTAGCTTATCAGTTATAAGTAAACATCTAAGAACAAAAAGTAATGACCTAAGGTCACCGTAAGCTCTGGAAGACTAAGGAGTAGATTGGTTTAAAAACAGATTTTTACAAAATTTACATCTCCATAAACAAAACATTTGATTAATTGATTTTATTGATTAATTGCCCATCCCCACATTTCTATTATCTCACTGACGGTAGGTTTTTAAAATGCTTCCAAATTGAAAAGTTTCTCTAAGCTATGTGGCTTGTTCTATTGTCTTTCCATTTTTAACAGTTGTGAAGGGGGAAATAATTTTTATGTGGAATCATATTTATACTGATTTAAAAAAAAAACTTTCGGAATATAGATACATGTTCTTTAAATTTAGATTTTTTTTTATTACAGATCCTATGCATCTAAAGTAAGTGCACAAGCTGTGAATATAAATCTGTTCTTTTGGACCAGACAGGAGCTGAAAGGAGAGATTTCTTTATGCTCTGTCAGAATGAAATAATGACCTTTGCCCCCATGTCACTCCAGAGCCTCTGTGAGCGACGGCTTCTCTCGATGTCTAAACCTGTTGACATCCTGAGGCAAATATGCTTGGAGGAAAAATACACGTGAGTGAATAATCTCACAGTCACAGACTTAGGGATTTTATGCACTTGATAGCAAAACTACAAATTATATTCTCAAGCGGTAATGAATTAGTTATAAAAATGAGGGATTTAATTTAGCTTGTGTTCCTTCCTCAGAGCGACACATTAAAGCTTGTTTTTTAATTAGTTTTCCCAGAGCAGCATGCTTTAACGGTGTGACCACATGCTTATGTAAGCTGCATACAAATGCAGGAAAAGACCTCAAGTGTGTGTATGTTTGAAACCGATAGTCTTTGTTTTGGCGTGTCCCTACAGCTACTGTCGAAATGGAAATTAGTAGAAGCAGGACTGTTTGACGTGTTTGGGTCATTTTGAAGCGAAAACAGTTTCAATTCCCCTCCTATGTTCATGGCGGTGTTCATAGTACGCACACAGCCATTGGGGGGATTCAGCAGTAACAGCAACTTCAAAGAAACCCCCCCTTGGATGTTACCTGAGTGCCGCTGGGCACCCGATAAACATTTTCTGTTAACTACCAGTCAGACGTCAACAATTTCAGATGCATTTTAAGAGCTTTTAACCCTTTATAGGGAAAGTTACTGTTTTTGATCACTTATATATACCTTACAAATGGAGTCCCCCAGTCCCTCAGTGAGGTCTAGAAACACAAAATCTATTTACAGCCGTTCAGCAAAGATACAGCTACATGGCTGTACATCTTATTTAGGCATTTGACCAATTAGATGATCCCTTAAATGATATATTACCTACTGGAAGTTGGGGGGAAAAAAGTTAAGTCAAGAAAGAAAGGTAAAAAGCTAATTGAAAAGTTAAAAAGTAAAGCAGAAAAAGTTAATAAGCCAAGTTAAAAAAGTAAAAAATGTTTTTGCCAGTACCAGTATTAATGTATCTTAGGTTATGTTGTACCAAAAAAAAAATGTTTGCATTCTTGTTTTTCATGAATTTCTTATAAAAGCACTTTTGTGATTTTTCTTATTATATTCAGTCAAGTTGGCGTTTCTTGTTATTACATTGAAATAGATTTTTGCCATTAAAATATCCATATTTTTTGAATGTTTCAAAGGTAATAAGGTCTTGTCCTGGATTCCAATAACACTATCGGGTTGGAATTTTGATTTTCAAAGTATTTCACTGAGTGCCCTATAAAGGGTTAAACATTTGATGACACAATTATTTAATTTTGCAGAAAGCTACATAGAGATTCATTTTGGTTAGTCTATAAAAGTTGTGAAAAATACATTTTACCACATAGTTTGTTAATTGTCTCAGTCTATTTTTTTTAAATTATTTTTCAATATAGATTTCTTTTACCTGTTTGACTCCTGCTTTTTGAAACTTTCATTTCTTTTTGTGCATCTAAACTAGGGCTCAAACTAATGATTATTTTGCAAATCCATTCATCTGTTGTTGTTTGTTTTTTTTACGATTGATCGATTAATAATTGGATGGCCAAAGGTTCCTTAAAGAAGATTTTCTATGAAATTAAACCAGTTGAAAATAAAACTTTTCCACTAGAGTTCTGGATAGAGCATATTGACAGATTAATTTTTTTCTTATCTTAGATGCAAAATGTTTTTATATATTTTTTTACAATTCTGGTATAATTACTCCTGTAACTGGGTCGCGCTGTCAGTTAATGCATATTTTACAGTCTCTACACTCCATTTAACGATTAATCGATTGCTAAATTAGTCGAGGATTATTGTTTCAGCCCTAATCCCAACCTCATTGCCTCCTTCAAACATGCCCAGCGTTGCTTTTTGCATCCAGATTTTGCTTGAAATACCTACCTATCGGTGCTTTTAATGTCCCATTTTTAAATATTAAAAGCATGAAATGAAATGTGGGGTAAAATAAATGCAACAGCATTTTCATGTCAAACAAAATTATCATATCATTAACTTAAAGTCTCAAAAGTGGGGTTGAATGACATTAAGAAATGGGCTCTGATAATCTAAATTAATGTATTTACTTGCTTTGATTGTAAAACTCTAACCAAATTCTGGATGATTTCACATTCTCTTTTATTTTTTTAGCACAATGGTTTTATATTTGACTGTTTTTAAGTGAGAATTTTTTCATATTAAGAATAAAATGTGTGAGAAAAAAGTCTGGATTTTATTTAATGATCAGTTGTCTGTAAAAATCATACATGGTCCACCTGTAGCAAATTTTTAAATCTTTGTATCTTTTCAATCTATATTGCAAACTGCAGAGTATTTTATTGGAGGATTCATAAGCCTGAAAATTGAATTATAGAAACAAGAACAGCTCCTCCGTTTCCTTGCAATTTGGAAGGAAAATTGTCCTTACGGATGACTCTGCAGGATACTTTCTCTTTCCTATCACCGACTAGCAAACTGATTTTAAATTTAAACGGACAAACGTTGCTTCATCCGTGGAACAAAAATGGAATTAGGAACTTTTCTCATTTTCTAATGTCTCTGCTAATTGTATCTGCCAGCTTGCTCGTAAAAGCCATGATTATGTTGAGTCATAGGACACATTCCTACCTTTGAATTCATGCTTAAAGGCTGAAAATAACATCAAACAGTTTCACAGTCCACACAGATAAAGAGCTTATATTTCTTTTTTTTTTTTTTTTTTTCTGTTTTTACCTCAGACACTGAATGTTAATCTGGATCTTTTTCCAACTTAATTATTCTCAGCAACACTCTAAACAACAAAGCTTTCCCTGACACCTGAACTTTACTCAGAATAAATTAGAAAGAGTTATTTTTCACTTGTGAGTCCAGAAGGAAAAGGTCTTTTTTGTTTACACGTATTATTAAAAAGCTGATATCTGATTTAGACGCTTTAGAGATTTAGCATTAGTATTTGGATTGATATTTGGAAAAAGACCCAAAGGAAAAAAACAGCCATTCTGGGTCATTCAGAGTCATTTTAGGTCAAAATATATATTTAAATGCACAATGCAGTAAGCACATTTTACAGCTTGATTAAGTATTCACAGCCTTTTCTTTTTATTTTAACTAATCGTTAACTAAAGTCTACATACTAACATGTGCAATAAGCTAAAAGTCCATTGAGCAGTAATTATACCACAATTGTAAAAAAAATCACAAAAACAGTTTGCATTGAAAATTAAAAAAAACTTTTTTTCTGCCCAGGACTCCTCATCTTGCAGTTTTAGTTTCACCTCGTTTAGACTCTGTTTAAAATATATTTTTCTATCCGATTATTAATTTAATAAAAATAAAAAACAGCAGATTAATGGGTTAGTGGAAAAATGGTTAGTTTCAGCCCAAATTTTGATTTGCCGGTTAGGATTGGTTGTTTTTATTGGTCTAATTGCAGTATTTACAAAGAATGTTCTGATTGGCTGAAAGAGAGCTGTCTTTGATCGGCTGGGGTTGTGCTTGATTCTTATCAAGTTTATCAAGCCATAAGTGCTGAGTCATAGTAGGAGATGGAAGCTGATGGATCAACTTTAAAACCACCCTTGATGCATTATTTAAATCGTTTCTTTTCCTCTGCCAAATATTCCCCTATCTGGTTAAAGCAGAGAGCAGCTTGATATCTGACCAACAACTAATTTAACAACTACTCTAATAAACTTAACATTATATTCAAGTTAATTTGATTAATATTCATTTTCTTTTTAATGACATAAACTTTTCCTTCATCCAGTAAAGTTGACTTCTAAAGTAGCTGACATTGAGATCTTTTATTTTTATATCTTGTTACTTTTTACTCAACCCCTTAAAACCCGTGGGGGTAATAACTCAGAATGCATAAAATTCCACCGGTAAAATTTTTACCAGCAGGTGGAGCCATTGTGCGCAGCTCCAAGCTGACCCAAAACGTTCCAAACCCCACAGCTCTGGAACTGTTATAGTTAGAGGTCTGAAATGTTCTTCATTTATGGTAGACATGTTGTGGAACAGATATAATACAATAAAACCTGCTTTTTCTCTAGAATGTCTTTATTACTGCTGTTAAAAAAAGACCTATCATTTCCGAGAATAAAAAAAAAAGAACTTTGAGACATGTTTGAACTGATACAGCTTGGTCTGTGTTCTACTCACCAAATTTATTTTATTGTTATATATATTTTCAGAAACTAGAGGGTGTTGGCTTTCAAATAATGTATTGCACATGTAATTTGGGCTGACAGTTCCTAAGTTATTTGCTTTTCCCTTTGGGTATGCAAAATAGGCGAGGATTACCCAAAATGAGGTGGATGTTAAGAGGTTAAATCATTACCTAATAGATCTCGGTGTGATTTTTTATAAAATCAGCTATTTTTCTTTGTGTTTTTACTGTGCCACAACCGAACACATTTCCTCCAAATACCCCCAGCTTTGGTTTGATCAACTGCAGGAATGTCTGTAGTCTTGATATTGTTTTGGTTTGTACCAGAGGAATGTTCTTACTTGAAGATCAGGAATATTTAGCTTTTCTTGTGTTTAACTTTTGTGTTTAACTTCCTAAGAACTTTTCTAACGTTGGACTCATTTTGACCTCTTACCTCCTTTCTTTTCCTTCATCTCTGATGCTCTAGAGCTGTAGATATACTTGCGTTTTTTGTAGCAGTTATCACTCTGCGTTCCATTTTACTGTCAGTAGGAAATGTGTTCATTCATTCCATTCATGTGCAGAAACAAGAACAGTGAGATTAATATTAGATTCAGTCATAAAGAGATTTTGTTACCAGGATTTGGTGATTTAGTTCTCTTATCATGAAGACTTAAAAGGATTTTATCTATAAAATCACAGTTGATTTAAAATGCAAATGTTTCGCTCAAACATTGATTAAATACCATCAGAGGGAGAAATGCTGGACTCGCCTTGCAGCTTTCCTCTTTAATGCTCTCCCACCAAGCAGGGAAATTGTACAATGCATTTTCAGGCTGGATATAAATATTGTATCATGTGCGCTGGCTGCAGGTATTCGCACAGTGATCTTAACTGTATTGACCTAGTTAGAACTCTGCAGAAACGGCAGCAGAACTGCAGGCTCCTTCAAGGCTAAGATTGTCTCATGGTTCCTCGGATATTAGCTGTTTTGCTTTTATTTGTTAAATCAGGCTCAAACGGTTTACACATGATTTGGGTTTCCAGTTAACGTCCTTTCTAATTCTGTGTTGGAGGAGATAATTAGTCCTGTTTTCATATCAGTGTTCACACATTGTGCATCGATTTCCACCTATGGGGTTTGGAGCATTCAAGGCTGAACTTGAAACCCAGACTTTCTCCGCTACCCATCATCCATGATAACTCAGACTGATGGAGAGCTTTATTTACAATTCTGGCCATGGATTTGTTGACATTTAGTCATTATTTGATATAATAAATCATTCATTAGAGGCTTTGATGCAGCCGTAGTATCATTCGAATTACAACATACAGCTTTACTGACTTTTGAAAGTTCTGATACCAGAGCATTTTTGCTCTTTGTAAACGAAATGACGAAATCAGACGTTCAGTTTTTACAGCTGCCTCCAGCCTGTTTAAATACTTGATGATGCTGAAGTGGCCCGATGTATAAATGAGTTTGACACCCCTGCAGGATGTGCTCCAATCTCAGTCTCCAATCTGTTTTGCATAGAGTTGGTATGCAATTAACCCTCCAACACCTCCTTGCACTTACTGAATGAGTTCTCTTATGATTCCTTTTAGACATTAAAGATGTGCCTGTGAAATACAAAAGGCGAAACATTTCTATTTTTTTTTTCCAGCTATGGATTAGTAATTAAAATAAAACCACAGGTATGGAAAACTGTTTATTCCCCTCTCATTGACCCAGTTTTTTTGTGGTTTCTTGTTTCTTCCTTCCTCTCCTTGCTTCCTCTATACCTGTTGTCTCTTTTTTTTCTTTCCTTCCTTTTATCTTTTGCTTCATAATTAATCTCTTCCTTTATCTGTTTTTATTTCCTTGCCCATATTTTTCCTTCCTTCGTTGTGTTCTGTCCTTTTTTCTTCTTCATTGTTCCTTTCTTTCCTTCTTCATTTCCTTCCTCCGCTTTGCCCTGTGTCCTTTCCTTCCTGCTATCCTTTCTTGTGGCTTTTTTCTCTTCATTTTTCCTTACTTGTTTCCTTCTTTACTTCCTCTCTCCTTTCATTTTTTCCTTCCTTTTCCATTTCTTGTGTCCTTCCTTATTGTTATCATGGTTTGAATTCCCTTTTTTTCCTCTCCCATGTCTCCTGCATCCTATCCTTCTTTTTTCCCCTTCTTTCAATCTCTCCTTTCTTTTTCTTTTCTTTTTTTTTTTACATCATTTTGTTAATAATTTATTCATTCTTACCCCATAACAAAATTTAATTTGGATTAAACCAATGATCGGGACTCCTCTGCTATAGAGCAGCCTTTTCAGCTAGGAATGATGTTTAAAAAGGTGTTAAATTGTGAATACAAGTCTTCTAGAGTGGTAAACATGGCCGAATGTGCCAGTTTATCTATAATGACATCCTTTTCATTAAGATATTTTAATTACAAGAGTCTAACCCCAGGCTGCCTCTTGTGTGTGAAGGTGTTTGTGCTCTAGAGTGTGTTTAATTATAAACCAGTTGCTCCGAGGTGGTTAAACATATTTGCTGATCCTCTCTTGTCCAACTGCTTTGCTGTGAATCTGAAGGACTTTCCGTAACCGACGGTTAGGTGAGGAGGAGGTCAGCTGGCTGTCTTCTTTAAATCTTCAGCCAGTGAAGGAGCTCACAAACCTCATCCCAGCCCTGAACGTCTCATCCTCTCATTTTAAATCCATCTGACTTTAAAACCTCTGCTCTTGGGCTTCTACACCAATAAATCCTGGCAGGGATTTAAACCCGGAGCCAGAGGGAGAACGGCAGCTGAGGGACCAGAGCCGACTCTCTGTGAGACTTTTGCCGATCACAGCCGCTAGCATGTCCTGAAAACAAGCTGTTTGAGCACAAAAAACACTTGGCTTGTTATTCGGCTAACTGTGCATTCATGTTCTTCTGACTGGCTGTTAGATCATTGCGATTTTTAGCTCTGATCCATGTGTCTGTCAACATCAGCGTCATTTAATTTGGAGTATCTCAGATGAGGATTAGAGCGCAGGAGGGAATCGTGACAATGTTGACCTGATTAAATGAGAGCTGTTATGCATTTCCTGAAAAGCAGGTCTCTTTTTGCACCAAGGAGTGTCAGGTTTAGCATAATAAGTCCATATATGTTATATTGTATCTGTTTATAATAATAATCTTCTAATTCTATTTCACACATTCAATCTGTTTTTATGTTTTTTTCCTGTGCAGATATCTCTCCTCAAACAGTCTCTGGAGCTCCAGTTGTCACAATCTCAGTCAGCTCTGCAGCAGCTGCAGTCCCAGTTCAACCAAGAGAGGGAGCTGCTGAGCCAACAGCTTAAAGGTGAAGAGTACAATCTAAAGGTTGCTACTTAGTGAACATAATTTCATTAACTTAATGAGATTTTTAATATTTTTGAATATCTGAACTTATTTATCTTATACAAAACATAGCTCTATAGAATTTCAGTCAAAAAGTGCAAATAATGCAGAATAAAGTCTCATTCTCTCATCAAACTTACCAGAACTTTAAACATAAAAAGTAATTAATGTGTTAAAATGTAAGAAAATAAGGCTTTACTTTGAGTTTAAAACAGGGTTTTGCAGAGTCTTTATTTCCCAAAACATTTTTGGTGTTTTAGCCAGAAAAAACTTTTTTTGTGACTTTGTGATGGAAATACCATCTGAAAAATGGTGTCATTCATTTTAACCATCAGAGAACCACATTTTTTGCTTGTTTACAAAATAGCTCACACTTAACACGATCAGATGGAGAACTTTGTTGAAGTTTTCTTTTTTTTTTTAGCTCATTTTCCATCGAATTTAGCTCTGAACTTTGACTATTCCACTTTAGCACATAATCCTACATCTCAACCAGGTCTGAAACCTTTACTTTCTAAAGTACCATTTTACAGCTGCAAACATTTCATGACGTTTTTATAAGAAAAAGATCAATTAAATTTGACATATATCCACCACAGTTACTGATACATTTGGAAAGTCATGTACAAAAAGCATTTTTTACTGCTCATAAAAGATATAATAAATCTCTATCACTATAAATCTAATACATCTCTATCAGAACCGTAAACATTACTCAACCTTTTAAAGAAAAAGATAAAGATAACTTATATTTGACACATATACACACCAGTGTGTTGATATTTCTAGAGAATTGCATTTAAAAAAGCAATTATATTTCAAATAGATTTGAAAAAAATCATATTGACTATAATTAGTCAATGTATTTTGGAAAATTCCAATCAATTAGTCAGTGGAGGAAATGTATTAGCATATCTATTTTCAAAGCTATTGGTTCATAATTTTTAGCCCAAGTTAGAGGAGGCATTGTTGACCATCTAAAGAGCCAGAGATTTCAGACCCTGGCTCTAAACTATCCCACTTTTGTTGTTGAAGAACTTGAGCAGGACATTTTCCTGCTAAAAGGTTAACCTCCACAGCAGTCTGAAGTGTTTTCCACGTGTTTTCCTTTGGGTTTATATAGAGATAAATCGGTGATGGCTCACATTGTCTATGAATAATATTTCAACTAAAAAAAGAAACTGTGATGCTGAAAAACTCAAGATGTTCTCTCACTTTATGCTGCAGCTTTTTCAATTTATGAAAGTTTTCAAAGTTCCTGCAGAGGTCTTACAGATGCGATGACAATAAAAGCTATCATGATTTGATGTCGGGGTTGAATGCCACTGCAGATTTATTGTGTTTTTTTTTTGTTTTTTTTTGTAGGAGGTATCAAAAAGTTGGTTTTTTTTTGTTTTGGCTTCATATTTGATTTACTTGATTTTTTTTGCTTTAAAAATCTTTCTATAAGTTTTTCAGAAGAGTTCATCCTTCTTCTGTGCGACTGCAGCAGACTAAAGCTCTGCCTTACTTGTTGATGGAAAATGAAACTTGTCTGCCTCTGATGTGACTCACCGTGCATTGCTGTCTGTTTGCAGAGATGCAGAGAGAACATCAGAGGAGGGAGCATCGGTTACAGGAAGCTCACTGCTGTGCCCTCAGCACCATGGAGGAGGCCAGACAGCACCAGATCAGAGTATGACACGCTACAACACTCACTGATATATCTGCAGGCCGATATAAATAAGCTCATGGATCCCTTGATAACAGCTGCTGCACCTTTTCTATCTGTAATCAGCAAAGGTCAGAATGCGAACTCCTTTCATGGGAGTTAAAAGCAGATTAGCTGGCACACAACTTGATTTGTTGCCTTGAGAGGCCTCTGGTGAATGGCATCACCCTAAAGTCATTTTCTTCTGAGAGGAAATTAAAACCTCCTCCAGTGTGGAGAATGTTATAGTTGCTGTTGCTTTTGCATCATGGTTGTGTTTATGCTTGGAGGAGTTTTAGGCAACAGTTTCAGTGAAGAGATGCTGTGCAAACAGCTGCAGCCTGATTAAGGAAGACAGTTTCCCATGTTTTAGCATTTTTCTAATTAAACAAAGATAAATATACATGTTGCCTATAGACACGGAACATCTATGCAGAACACACCATAATTATTGGCACCAACAAGTAGAGAATAACCAATAGGAAAGTTATAGAAGAAGAATAAAACAAGATTTTTTTCCCAAGTTTAACTTAAAATCTTCAGCTTTTAAAAACTGCTGTAGAACTACAGCAACTACTGCAATTTTTGGCTACATAACAATCATCAGAATCTATCTAGTTAGTTCTAGTTAGGAGGGATATATGGAAAAAAATGCACAATGGTGCAATGACCTCACTATTTATTTATATCTATAAACTGATTTAATTAGATTCCTTTTTAATCATATTTATTTATTTAAGTGATATTAAATTGTTATATTCATATTTTTAAATGTTTATATTCATTTAATGGGACATTTTATTGTTTAATAATGCTTTGTACGGTTTAATGTTTTAGATAAATAGATAATAAAAACATCTAATTTCATTGGATGTTTATTCATTTTGTGGAATATTCAGATTTATATGTTTCATGATATATTTTGGCCCTAAATATTTCTCTAGGATCACATTATTACGATTGTGAAAACCAACTCGTCACCCCTGACTTGGTGTCTTGTGACCCTCCAGGGGGTCCCGACCCCCCCAGTCTGAGAAATCCTGCCTTAAGTGGCGGTTGCCTCTAATGTCTACAGTACAGTGGAGGATCTATAGTGCTGTGGGAACATTATCAGAGTGGTTGGCATCATTACAGTTTGAGATATCCTGGGATTTTATATAAGGAAAATCTGAGGCACTTGGTCTCTCCAGAGATTAACTATCAAAGAATCTGTGTTTATCAACACTGACATGGAATTAGGTGAACTAACAGAAGAGTTTGAAGTGGTTTGAGGTTTATTATCTTGTTTATAGGACAGTCATGTATTTACATTCCAGGCACAAACTGAATATTTTTTACTACTTTTAATGAAAATCATAAAGAACACAAGGGAATGATTGGCCAGACGTCTGTTTGGTGCTTTAGTTATTCCTTGTAGAGATTACAGAATAAAAAAGCTTATTTATGCAAATTAGACTATAAAGTGGATCTAATTTGAGCAGTGAAAGAGGTTCCTATCCTCATCTGTAAGCCGAGACTAATTTTATAGTATTGGCATTCCCAAATCAATTTTAAATTCTTGTAATAATTCCCATTGCTGTTAGTTGCTTTTAACATAGGATCCTCATGTGAATGCAGCTTCTTCTCTGTGTCTGATTTACAAAAAGGGAATCTAAGCTCTGTTTTCCTTTCTCACTCTGACCTTGGCTTTTGTCCTCCCTAAACTCCCTCCCTCTGCCTTCTGTTAGGCCCTGGAGGAGCGTCTTAAGCAGGAGCACAGGGAGGAGGTTCATGCTCTGAAGGAGGCCCACAGGAGGACCTTGGAAATCCTCAGGCAGCAGTCAGAGCAGGAGCTGCAGACTCTAAGATTTGAACTGGAGGACGAGGGCAAAGCAAAGCTGGGTAAATGATGAAGTATTTTTGGCTTTGATACATTTTTTTAAACCATGATTTGAACATGTGTTTTCAGGATTGTTTAAATTGACTGAAATGTTTAACTGGAATGGTTTCTGTTTGTGTTTAGTGGATATCATCTGTGATCTTTTTGACTTTTTACAAGCTCTGTGCTTAAATATGATCAAAGAATCCGACTTATTTTCTCCTCCACACTTATTACTGAAGGAGAGCACAGACTGCTATGAACTGACTGCATAAGTTTAATGCTTTGGGAAGCTACTTAAGAATAGTGGGAGGGAAAATCCCCTTTTTGGCTGCAAAATGTCAAAATAGAGCTTTGATAACACATCTGTCTAAAAATAATGTATTGAAACTGATTACTTTTGCTTTAAACACCTTATGAATTTCTAACCAGTATTAGCTGTAGAGCTAAATTACATTTCAGTTTCATACCTAACAGTATTATATTTTTCTAGTTCCATTTCGTAGTTCCTATGTTGAATCACAGTGATTGTAGCGGCCAAAATCCTACTGGTTGCTATTCTTGCAGGTGTTGGTTTTACGTGTGCTCAATTAAGACTATATCATGCCGATCTTTCCTTTGACTTATAATAAAGTCATTTATTAACATAACAATGTCCATACAGTAGTTTTACCAATTGTCTTACATAAATACATACATTTGACATAGTCTAAACCAAACACAGTAGAAAACTGTTGCCTCCTCTCATTAACAACACCTGAACAGAATCATGGTTGTCCTTAAATAACCCCATCCCCCATCAAACAATCAGAACTCAAAATGAAATACGCCCCCTGGGGGCGATAACAGAGTGATAATATACTTTTTAGGTGATCCTGATTTCCTTTAAGGGCAATAATACAGTAATGTATAAGAACGGTTCCAAGGGTTCCAAAAAAGAACAACTCCATCAGGTTCCCCAAGAGTGAAAGCTTGACAAGAGAAATCAGACGAACTCTGCTAAACTCTAAGCCTTCCTGTTATCTGCTAAAAGTCTTGCTCTCTGTTGTTCCCATAAACCCTAAATGTCTTGACATTTTTATAAACAGTTTACTTTTGCCTTTTGTCATCTCTGAATATATTTCAAATGTTTTCACCGATACAGAAAAATCTAAAATGATCCCGTAAAAATTCAAAAAATATCCACTGGACTTGGTTTTCAAGATTTGAAGACGTTTCGCCACCTCTCCAGGAAGCTTTCTCAATTTAAATGTCTGGATCCAGACATTCAATCCAGACATTTGAATTGAGAAAGCTTCCTGGAGAGGTGGCGAAACGTCTTCAAATCTTGAAAACCAAGTCCAGTGGATATTTTTTGAATTTTTACGGAATGACTTTGACCTGGATGACTGAGAACCTTCATCAGCATCTAAAATGATCC